TGGTTGTGTATGCACGCTGCCAACACACATTTCAGTTCAAAAAACTTGTAAAAGTGCATGTAGCATCCTATGACCCCTTTAAGGAGTTCGTCTCCGGTAAAACTTATAGAAGAAATGACAAAACACAGAGCAAACAAACAAAAACATCAGAAGAATTGCGTCGTGGCTGCCATTTGCGGCGCCATCTTGTTGACTAAAGACCAATAGTGTACTTTACAGAAAACCAATTGTTTGCAAGGCTTAAAAATGTGGATAAAAATGTTCCAAAAAATGGCTGTAATTCTGTCATTTGGGTCCACAAAAACTCTAGTGTGAAAGTACTCTCAGAACTCTTCTTCTCTCCTATTTCTCAGAGCTGTATCTGAAACTGGAGGATGTGACGAGGAGGTTCTTACGGCCCTGCATCATGGATGTGAAGATCGGGAGGCGAAGTTACGACCCGTTTGCGTCAAAAGAAAAACGCGAAGAGCAGATTAGCAAGTATCCTCTGATGGAAGAGATCGGGTTCCTGTTATTGGGCATGAGGGTGAGACAGCGTGTGTGTGATTTATTAACTTTCCTTATCCTCATTATGCAGGATCTCCTGTTTTTCTGCTGTTTTATCTCTGTATCCTCCTCTCGGTATCTGATTTTCTTATTACAAACTGTGAGGCTTCATAAACACAATATTAAGCTTCAGATCACCCGAGTGGGGGCTCTAAAGGTTCGGTGTCAGTGCTGCACAACAGAAATCCCCATCTGCTGTCTTGTAAGGCTTGATCAATATTCAGAGCTTATCCGGAAACTTATGAGGAATACTGATAAGACATTTGATGATAAGATTGTGATGAAACCAGCGGTCAGTGCACACACTCCTCTGCTTTTGCTTTCTACACCTCATTGTGCTGCACTGGCTGTGAAGAAGGTCACATGAGAAGAGATAGATAAAATTAATTCAGTCATTGAGTTTAAAGATCGTCTGGTTCTGATGCATTTATCATGATACAAACAGTGACATTTTATACTGATTCACTGAATTATAGGTGACCGACTTTTTTGTTTGTTTTTTCTTTGTGGAAATCTCTATTAAAATGTGGCTAAAAAGTAAAATTGCAAAAATGGTACTTTTCCAAAATGCTTTCCAAAAACTGGTAATCATGAAATTAATTGAGATAATTTTATTGTATTGACACCCCCAATTTTTTAAATAAAAAAATAGATACAAATTAATTTGCATATAATTTCTCAAAAATAAGAATTAAACTGCTTACTTGCCATTATATTTATTGTTAACTATTAAAAAACTTTTTCACTAATTGATATAAAGCTGAAGTGAAACAACACTAATATTAGATGAAAAACTTAAAAAAAAAAAAAAATAGGAAAAAAGAAGAAATGTTGCTTGCCAATCAAATGAAATAAGTTGAAGGTGAATTAAAATAAAAAAAAATATTAATTCTAAATTAAAAAACTAATAAAAATAACAAAAACACATAACAAAATTACTAAAACCTAAACTAAAATACAAATAGAAAATATAAAAATAAAATCTAATTCTAAATATGAATAAATAGTATAATAATATTTAAATGATATTAAAATAACAATGTTCCTCGCAAAATACAAATTTGCTTGAAATTTGCTTTGACTGTACGGAAGATTTTCCTTGCTAATAATCTAAAACCACTTTTGAAAAAATATTTATTCTTAAAGTAAATATAAAAATACAAAAACCATCTGTGCCCTGTTAATCTGAAAACAACTATGATAAATATTATCAATTATAAATTACAGCTGAAAGGACATTTTGTCAATGATGTCACACTGGATAGCTCCACCCAGCTAATCAAACATGTTCTGATTGACTGTGCAGCATTTTTCTTACAGTAAAGACAGACAAACCAACCCAGGAAACATCCCCGAATTTATAAGACAATCAAATTATTTGGATAAAGAAACTATGTTGCATTTTACTATTGACGTTTTTTGCAGCCTTGTAAGTTCCACTAAGGTGTGATACCTCCATCTCTTTTCCTCTGTTTCCTCTGTTGTTTCCATCCCCCAGCCTCTCAGTAAATCATCTTCTCTCTCTGCTTTCTCTTCTTGTTTCTTTTCACCTAATTGGTTTCAGTGTCTCAAGGCTGGGAAATATTTGCCAGCTGCTGTCACCCTCTCCTTCCTCTCTCCTCTCTTTCTGTTGCTCTTGCTTTCTGTGTTATTTCAGCTTGTTTCATTTGTTTTGTAGTGTGGAAGGATCCATTCAGTGAGGTTCATCACATGCCAGTCTCTCCAGAGCTGTTCTAAACCTAGTGAGATGCCTATGTAGACAGCATTTTAAGGCCTCATAGGCACAATCAAGATTGGACTGTTTTACCTAATATCTGTCTGTGTGGTGTATTTAGCTAAAGCTCATTTCTAGACTTCAAGGCAGGCCTGTTGTTTTGAAACAGAGCTTTCATGTTTCTCTTCATTGCAGTGTTTGTGATGGATCTCCTCTGATCTTCTTTCTCATCTTCTCACCTCAGGTGTACCAGATCAACTCAGACAGTTACATCACTCATGACCAGTTCTATGGACGCAGTCTCGGAAAGGACACTTTAAAATATGGTGTGACTCCAACTTTATTATTATTATTTATTTTATGTTATGTGTATGGAATTATATTTCTTTCTTTCTTTCTTTCTTTCTTAAATTATAAAGCTCAAAAATGTTTTATTAGCTCCATATTAATTATTATTATTATTATTAATATTATTATTATTGTTGTTGTTGTTATGTTTTTAATTGTGATTTCCAGGCTTTGAAACAAACAAACAACAACAACAACAACAACAACAACAACAACAATAATAATAATTATTATTATTATGCACAGGGATCTAACCATTTTATTTATTTATTTATTTTAAATGTAATTATTATTTAAATTGTGATTTCCAGGCTTGGAAAGCAAGCAAATTATTATTATTATTATTATTATTATTATTATTATGGACAGGGATCTAACCATTTTATTTATTTATTTTAAATGTAATGATTATTTAAATTGTGATTTCCAGGCTTGGAAAGCAAACAAACAAACAAACAACAACAATAAATAATAATAATAATAATAGTTGTTGTTGTTATTATTATTATTATTATTATTATTATATATTTTTAATTTTATAATTTTTAATTGTGGTTTCTAGACTTGGATAAATCAAGGAAGGAAAGAAAGAAAGAAAGAAAGAAAGAAAGAAAGAAAGAAAGAAAGAAAGAATTGGATAGATAGATAGATAGATAGATAGAAAGACGGACGGACGGACAGACAGATAGACAGATAAATAGATAGATATAGATTGATAGATTGATTATTTGACACATTATTAGAATTAGTAATAATGTGAACTATGTTTATATTAATGCTAAAAATGAAATTGCGGTTCACGTTGATCATGAAGCCACAAAAATGAATCTGTGAATTTGTATTCCCTTAGGCCTGAGCAGATTCTTCCACAATGGTCAAGAACTACAGAGGCATGCAGTTTCTCTGATTATCTCCAAAATCCGAAGCATTCTCCGCTGGTTTGAGATCCAGACTGAGCTGCATTTCTACGCCAGCTCTCTGCTGCTGGTGTATGAGGGCTCTCCTCACACAATCAATAAATCCAAACACAAGCCAGCTGATCCAGCAACAGAACATCAGCAGGGGGAGCCACAGAGCAAGGCTTTGAGCTTTCAGAGCAGTTTAACACACAGTCGTCCATACTGCCATGACATTCAGCATGAGAGAAACACCAACGGAAAACATGGAGGAAGTATAGAAGAGCAAGATGAGGAAATTGGAATGGGGGATAAGAAGCAGTTTGGACAGGAGGAGACAGTGGAGGTGAAGATGATCGATTTTGCTCATGTATTTCCCAGCGACAGTCCGGATGAGAGCTACATGTACGGACTCAGGAACCTTCTCTCAACTTTAGAACAAATACTGAAGGACTGACATCTGTCCATCTCTCTCTTCACTGGTCGGATCTTTCTGACTGTTGTTTTAAAGCCAGTGCAGATCATTTCACACACATACACAAACATTGCTGGTGCCTTAATTTTGAAAATAGGTTTATTATATATTTATAGAGATATTTTTCTTAATCTTTTGAGATAAAAGAGTTCATTGTATTTTGAAAACACTCTCAGAACTTAAGACTCTGGATAAGAAAGGCTTGGCTGTCAACAACTAAAAATTTACTAAAAATATAGGTACTGTAGAACTCATATCATATCATGAAAAATAATCATGATATGATAAAGCAGTTCATCTGTGCTGTCAAAACACTTACAATGTGACTTACTGATGTCTCATAATGACTCCACTTCTGATGCAACTATTGATGTTTTTATTCTAAAAATGCACTTTGATTCAAAAGTAAATTATAGTTAGATTTATTTTTAACATTTATATTTACCTTATCACAGCCAAAAATATCCACATTAGTGTACCTTTTAAAAAAGTAATTTATTTTATTTGTATGAATATTTAAAATGAATTTTGGCTGATATAAATCTGTAAAAACAATGCATTTAAATTATATTATTATAAATTATATTAGTATATTTACTTAAGAACTTTAATTGTTTGAAAATAAGAAAAGTTCCCAAGAACATGCTCAATGTTTTTCAAATAAATGTAAAGTTATACAATGAATGCATTTTTTCTTTTTCTTTCTTTCTTTCTTTCTTACATTTGAAAAAAAAAAATCACATCTCTACATAAAAACATGTTATGAGAGAAAATACTTTATGTATTACATTTAATTCTTTATGAACGAAACAGAATTAGCAATGAGCAGTCATTAAAGGAATAGTGCACCCAAAAATGAAAATTTGCTGAAACTTTACTCAACCTCAGGCCATCAAAGTGGCAGATGAGTTTGTTTCTTCATCAGAACAGATTTGGAGAAATGTAGCATTCCATCACTTGCTCACCAATGGATCCTCAGCAGTGAATGGGTGCCGTCAGAATGAGAGTCCAAACAGCTGATAAAAACCTCACACTAATCCACATGATTCCAGTTCATCAATTAAGGTCTTGTGAAGCCAAAAGCTGCATGTTTGTAATGAACAAATCCATCAAGACATTTTAAACTTCAAATACCACTTTATACTTAATACTCCAGCTTAAATACCTACAAAGGTGCAGCTCCTGCACCTTTATGTATGACATTAAATATACAGAATTCATAATAATATGAAGTGTTAAAAATATCAGACTGATTTTATGCTGCTGCCATTCTTTGTTGGTAAGATCCAACTAAGTAAATTCTAATAGCATTTAAAAGCTACTTTTCATTTGACATTTTACCCCAAATGTCTCAAATCTCAGAACGTAATGTGTGTAAAACGTCTAATGGACTAGAAATGTCTGTGAAGCATAAAATGCTTTAAAAGTTATACCAGCACTCCTGTGATAATATGGATAAATTTAGCTTTGCTGAAAGCTTCAAATTCTTCACTGACTTACAGTTCTCCCTAAAGGTTGCTTTGTGTTTTCATCTCTCTCATAAAAGTTTGTTATTATCCATGAACCATCTCTCACATGAGCAACAAAAAACACTTTCCCCAAACGGCTCTTATAATTAGAGACTGGACAAAACAGAAGGTTCTGCGGTTTAATATAGATAAATCACAATGAGAACGCGAGATTGTTTATGTGCAAGCAAACATGACAGAAAAACAATTACTTTAATTATTTTCTGAAGCTTAAAGAATTAATTATTTATACCGATGTGCAAAAGAAAAAAAAAACAGATTTCTTTTTAATACTTGATCAAGCAAGTCAAGACGGAGACATCAGCAGCATAATAATCAAGTTGTTTAAAAATAGATTAAAACAGACAAATTAATGTAAATTCAATTTCATGTGGATAAAGCACACAGTTATTGCACCGCTGTCCTGCTGTGTTTCTTCATTTACACTTTTCTGAGTGTCATTCAATCCTCCTGCTCTTCTTTAAACTGCAGGGATTTTTCATTATTCCTAATTTGAACGTAATTTGAAATATAATTGGAACCTCAGAAGCAATTTCCCCATCAAACGCCCCCAGAAAAGCTCAGCTCTGAGGTGTCTATTAAAAAGGCTTAAAACAAAAATTGAATTTACTGGGTTAAGATCTTACTTTTTTTTAGCATTTGACAATGTTTTTATTTCTTTTTTCACTCATCCTCAACTTCTGATCTCTTTGTATTTAAAGCACGTATGCATGTGTGAATCGGAAAACATTTCATATGCTTTCTCACAGCTCTGAATTAATAAATCATACATGACATACATATTTGATATTTATATTTTTGGCTGTGTGATTTGTGCTCATTAATGTCTTATTGTGTGTGTGTATTTCCTCACATGTTCATTTGGTGGCGCTGTGGCTCCTGTTTGGCCGCACTGATTGAAAGACTGGAAATGGAGAGAAACGCAGAACTCAATCCATTGGCATCAGATCCGGGTAAGAAATTCAGTGGAAAACGAAAAAGCACTCCATGATATATGTAGCAGTGTACGTGATGTGCTTGTTATATTGCTTTCTATGTGTTGTTCTGAAAGAGCTCTTGATTATTTTGCTTTGGGATCCATGAATTTTGTTTGAGATGAACTTGAGACAGAAAACACTATTTTATTTGCACGGTTCTGTGCTGGACCCCTTTCTTCAGTATTGTGTGTTGGTATGTCCATTGATCATGCTGGAAACGTTTAAATGTGATTTGTTGAAGTTAATCAATATATGGCGGGATTGAGAAGGAGGAAAAGAGAGAAACTAATTAAAACTGGAATTGATTCTTTATTAAAATGACAAGCTTTATCTCATAGTGCTCAAACATGTGCATCCAAATCATTTATTTTATGAATCGAAGCAATACCATAATCATAATTCATTCTGATCTTTCGCCCCTCTGTTTACAGTTCAAAATGTTTGTACAGTTATGTATGATGCATTTTATTGAACCGATTATGATTGACTATGCCCCATCCTAGACATTGCCCTACATTGGATGTTTCTGCCAGCAGCATGTTTATAATGTGCTCTTAAAGTGGTCAATATTAAATGGATATTATTCCCTCGTGGGCTGGAATGAAGTGTGACATTGCAAAGCATTTATCAAATGTTTTTCTTTAAAGAAATTATTCAATTAAACTGACATGATTTGATTTGCCGTCTCCACACTTTAATCGAGGCAAATACCACAAACTAAAAAAGAGAAGCCTTATTTGATAGTGATTACTGATATTACAAAATTAGTGTAAGTGAATTATGGCTGGGTATAGGCTATCAATATACATTCCCCAATGCAATGCACTTCTGATTAATTTAAGTAGGGCTATAGGCCTACATATAGTATTTCAGTTAAAATGTCATTTTCACTTATATTTTGGGGAAAATAATATATTAAACTATTTCTGGCGGTAATAAGAACTTGATATTGATTTCAACTGACGGATTCAACTGACTGTTGAGTTTTTGAAGGAAAAAAGATTAAAATAAAAATAGTCAGTTGTTCATGAATTGATTCTGATCCATGACATGCATGCATTAAAAAATTAGTTTGTGAACTGGGCTCAGGCATCATTGCATGCATCCTCAATACTTAAGTATTTTCTTGCCGTTATTTCACAGTAAACTCTGGGCTTATTTTACGGTAAAATTTGACTTATTTAAATAGTGATAGCCTTGTTAAGCTATAGACTTATTAAAAGTGATTAGGATATAAGTGATATACTTATAAAACAACAGCTAAAACCAGCATAAGTTGGAAGCGGTTTTAGCTGGTCTCCCAGTCTGGCTAAGCTGGTGTTCAGTTGGTCAGCTGGTCTCCTGCCCTGAGCAGCTAAAGAAGTGGTCAAAACCCCTCTAAAACCAACCGCAAACCAGCAATGATCAGGCTGGAAGACCAGCTAAAGCCAGCCAACCAGATTAGGCTGTTAAAGTTAACAACTTACTAGGTACTGTAGGCTTTATGAGCTAAAGCAATACATAGGCCTATATTTATTCATTTTAATTTAGTAGCAACATTCCCTACTGTATTTGAATCCACTGCAGGGTCATTCCGTGTCGACTCAACCAGAGATCCCCGGCTCAAATTTTTGATTTTGCTAATATTTTTTCTGAAGAAAGACAGACATGTATAGTGATGAAAGCCAAAATATTAAATGTCATGAATGAATATTTACTGAGTAATCCACTATTTTGTAGAGGGGGGTCAAAATGGCAATTTTCACCTGAGATTCAAAGCCAAATTACAGGGGGGTAAAAATGACTTCAGAAAGATGGCAGCATCATAATGTTATTTTTACACAGATATTGGTAGGTATGTTAGTAAAATCTGTTGACTTTAGCAATCTTTGTTGCATTATGTGCCAATGGTGACCATTCAGAAATGGGGAAACAGCACTTTTCATGTTTTTTCTTCAAAGTTTGCATGCCTGTAACTCAAGAAGCATTAAAGATATCTTAATGCCCTTTTAGATATTGGGTCTTAACAAACTTCCCTTTTGGCATCTTAATTTTTAAGGCCCTATATGGTTCGGTTCCAGAGATATTGGAATTTCAATATGGCTCCAGGTGTAAAACCCCGGTGGCTCCAGGAGTAAATTGTTAAAATGTACACTTTCAGTGGTCAAAAACCAAATGTGGGTCAATTTGCAAAAGTATGGTACTTCTTTTCTTTTAAAGAGGAATGTCTGAAAAACAAATAATGTTGAAACTAGAGATGTATCTCGTTTACTTCTGTCAAAATAACTGCATTGAACATACCTGTCTGAGTGTCATAAATGTTCTTTTTCCAAAGTTTGCATGCCTATAACTCAAGAAGTATTAAAGATATCGCAATATGATTTTAGATTCTAGTTCTTAATAAACTTTTCTTTTGGGATCTAAGATGCCAAAAGGGAAGTTTGTTAAGACCCAATATTTAAAAGGACATTAAGATATCTTTAATACGTCTTGAGTCACAGGCATGCAAACTTTGGAGAAAAAACTTGAAAAGTGTTGTTTCCCCATTTTTTAATGGCCACCATTGGCACATAATGCAACAAAGATTGCAATCTCTGTGTAAAAATAACATTATGATGTTGCCATCTTTCTGAAGTCATTTTTACCCCCCCTGTAATTTGCCTCTGAATCTCAGATGAAAATTGCCATTTTGACCCCCTTCTGCAAAATAGTGGATAACTCAGTAAATATTTATCCATGACATTTAATATTTTGGCTTTCATCACTATACATGTCTGTCTGTCTTCAGAAAAAATATTAGCAAAATCTAAAATATGAGCCGGGTAATTTTTTGAAATTTGGTTGATTTGACAGGGAATGACCCTGCATGAATTTCTGAAGATTTGAAAATTATATTTGAATTTGAACTCCTGTTTAAATCTATCCAAACATAAGTTTTTCTTAAGTGTCATATAGCAATGTTAGCT